TTGCGGTTGGGGGGGGGGGGGGTGGGGGGGGTAGGCAGTCCTGCTGGGCAGCTGGGAAACTGCAGCGGGCTCTGGGCTGTGGGGGTGGTCTCTGGTTGCCGGGTGCCTGGCGGGGTGACTTGGGGCAGGGGACGAAGTGGGCCAGTGAGGAGAGGGAGGTAGGCAGGGCCGGAGCAGGGTCGGGTTGGTGAGTTTGCACACGGGGCGCACAGCAGGGAGGCGGGTGGCCTGGGCAGCCTCTGCAGGACTGGCAAGGCCCAGATGCCAGAGGAGCTCCTGGTTCAGAAAACAGCCAGGCTGACCCCGTCCTCTGCCCGCAGGGTGTTCTTCCTGAACGTGCCGTTCGACTCCATCATTGAGCGGCTGACCCTGAGAAGAACGGATCCCGTCACTGGAGAGAGGTTTGTACTGGGGCGCAGGAGGCTGGTCCGCTGAGGGCTGCCGGGGCCAGGCCCAACTCGAGACAGGCTGCGCCCACTGAGCTCTGACCGGCAGTCCCTGCTGGCCATCTCTGCCGGAAGGGTACGCAGGAAATCAGTGTCCAAGGCCGTCCAGCAACTGGCTCGAAGCACACTCGCTCCTCCAGCTCAGCCCTGGCATAGGGCCTGGCCGCACGGGGTGGGCGTCACCTGGACGTCGCCAGGTCTGTGCCAGAGCCAGAGGTACAGGCACCAGTGGGAGCAGCTCGCCTCGGGCCTCGCCGTGGCTGCAGGAGTAAATTCCATTTCCTGGATGGGAAAGCCAACTTTTTCTAAGGCCTACGCCTGACCTGGCCTGGCCTGCGTCTGCGTCACGGCGCACCCACGCTGGGGTCTCTTCCAACAGTGACCGAGGCACTTCCGGTGTCTCCTCGCATGCTTGTTTCAGCATCCCACTCCCACTCCCCACGTGGCCGTAACCCGCAGACATAGAGCCCGCCTCTCTCTTGCTTGCCGGGGCACCCACAGCAGCAGGTGCAATGCCAGGCCCATGTTCAGAAATAAGGCCGGGCAGGACGAGGGAGGGGACGGAGGGAGGGAGGAGAGGGGCGAGGCGAGGAAGGTGACGCTGACTGTGTTACCCCATCCTGCCCTCCCACCCTGATCTCTGTCCCTGCCCCGGATCGAGTCTTGGATCTCTCTGCAGTTCCAGGGCCTGGCTGAAGGCGCGTCCACAGCTGATATACAGGACATGGTGGTGACAGTGACAGGGCACACCAGCGTGGTCAGGAGCAGATCTGAGGCCCTCGGGGCCAGACCGGGGTCACCCATTTGGCCTCCTCTGCCGTAGGTACCATCTCATGTACAAGCCCCCTCCGACTGTGGAGATCCAGGCCCGTCTCCTGCAGCACCCGAAGGACAGTGAAGAGCAGGTCAGGCTCAGGATGGACCTGTTCTACAGGAACTCCGCCGAGCTGGAGCAGTTCTACGAGCGGTCCGTCACCCTCAACGGGGACCAGGACCCGTACACCGTCTTCGAATACATCGAGAGTGGGATCATTAATCCCCTGCCCAAGAAGATCCTCTGATGGGCTCAGAGCAAAGAGCACCCCCAGGAGCACCCCTAAGGGAACCCCTACCCCCAGCTGCTGGGAGCCTCCAGCCAAGCCACTAAAGAGCCGTCCTGACGCTGTGATGCCTGGAGCCGGCCTCACTTTGGGGTCGGGAGCTCTTGGCAGGCGAAACCCCGAGAGGTGGCGGGGTGGGGAGCTGCAGGCCCCTCTGGGGCGGACCAGGACACCAGCACCCTGTGTGGCCTTGGGGAAACCGCTTACCCTCAGGGCCTCCCTCATCTCCATGGAAACCGGGGTGATGGCAGCCACTGCCACCGGGGCTGCCGCGGGACTGCGAGCGCTGTGCACGTGGCGCTCTGAGCAAGCCCTGCCACGCAGCAGGTGTTCCCGACGTGGCTGGGAACATGTCCTGCCTGTAGCAGCACCCACCGGACTGGGGGGGTGTGCGCACCGCCCCACGGCAGCCCCAGCTGCAGGTGGCGCCCGAGCCGCAGCCAGAGACCGGGGAGGAGGAGGCTTTTAAATCTTACTACTTTTCACGAATTGAAATTCAGATCGCGTCACGTGGCTGGTGACTGCCACCTCAGACAGTGCAGACCAGGGAGTCACTCGGCCGGTCCTTCAGAACGGCTTCCTTCGGGTCCCATCGAGTGGGAAGAAATTGTCCCTCTGGGGTCTGCGACCACACAGGCCCAGGAGCTGAGGGACGATGGCATCTCAGGCTGGTGGTGCACGTGGCCCTGTCCACATTCCCACCCTCCTGCGTTTTCTTTTACCTGTGTCACAGTCCTCGGGCACTCCAGTGCCCCCAAACCATGCATGAGGACCCTGCAGAGGGGACCTGGATCCATGGTGAGACCTGAGCCTGGCACTCTGGGCACTCTGCTCTCTGCCTACAGCCCGAGCAGGCCAGGCCTTCTAGCCGCTGGGGCTCTGGGACACTCAGAGACCCTGTACCTGGCAACTGAAACTCCTAGCTCCCTCTAGCCTGGGGCAGCCCAGACCTGACCCTGGCACCGTGTCTGCCAGCAGCCATCATGCCCCAAGCTAAGCCTCCCAGGCCTGCCCTGGTCACAAGCTGAGCTCCCAGCTGCCCCCGCCGGGCCTCGGGGCTGTGCCTCTCCCCAGAGGTCCTGCCGTCGGCACCTCCTTCCTGGCTGGAGGGCCAGCAGTCCCGCCGTCGCTCTGCCCTGTTCAGCCCCTGGTACTACCTCCTACCAGCTCCTGGGCACAAGCCAGCAGGGCTCCCTAGCCAGACCCCAGGTACCCCCTCCAGGAGGAGGGTGTCCGCCCTGGCCCTCCTCAAGCAACACGCATTTGCCCATTAAGCCTCCATTCAGCACCGGGACAAGCCCAGCTACAGACCACACGTCCAGCTTGTAAGTGCTCCAAGCTGGGTGACGAGCCCTCCCTTAGACTGAAGGAGACAACAGCAGGAGAAAATGACCAGCACCGGCCTGGGTGTGCGGGGGTCACTGCCCCGGCCTGGGCTCCCGCCGTCTGACATTCCTGATGTCAGAGAACAGTCAACCAGCGACCAGTGCTCAATAAAACACCATCCGGATGTAAATCCTCAGCCAAAGACATCGAAGAACATTCATTTATTTAGTGAGCATGGTGTATTGTTTTGTTTTTTATCTTTATTTAATTTTTCTCCCAGCGGAAACGTGCACTCACCCGAGAGACAGAGGGGGAAAGCACCTCAGATGGGCATGGCCGTGCCGCGGGCCCTTCTCCCCCCTCTCCATCCTGCTGGGACTTTGGACATGCACAGGCACCCGATACGGGTTTTGTTGTTGTTGTTGTTTGTTTGTTTTTTTTTTTTGAGAGGGCGCATGCACTTGCCAGACACAGAGAGACATAGAGACAGAAAGCGAGAAATCACCCCCCAGGGGGGATGGTTACGCCGCAATCCCTTCTCCTCCATTCCCCTCCCGGGATCTTGAGCATGCACACACACGTGCCTGGTGTGAGTTTAAGCCACTGGGTCCAGGACTCGAACAGCGGTCGACTACATGGGAGTTCAGCGACATAGCCATTACACCAACTGCTGGTCCTGGAAGTGATTTTTCTTTTCCACTCTCTGTGTCTCTCTGTCTCTGTCTGGCGAGTGCACACGCCCTGTGGCAAAGACCTAGAAACAAAAACTCTCAGTGCCCAGCACCAGGGATGTGGCGAAGGGGGGGAAAGGATGAATTTGCTGCCCTTGTGAGGCTTACGTCTTACAGAGATGACAGGAGTGAGAGAGACAGAGAGCATCCTGGAAGAAACTCGGCCTTGGGTTTGGAATCTGTACTCACACTACACGTGCCACGGGGACAGCGTCCCGCCCCTCGGTGGCTGGCTGCCGCGTTCGCCTGCTGTCTGCCCAGTACTCACAAGTAGCAGAGGGCGGCACGGCCAGTCTCTGGGCCGCCCTGGGTGCTCGTGTCGGCCCCGCGCTGCGCTCCTCTTCACACCGCGGCTTCCCTGCATACCCGGCCTCCTCCCCTCAGCAAAGTCACCTTGATATTGAAAGTCTTGCAGATCTCCTCGGGGGCTTTTCCCTTGATCATGTTGGCCACGGTCTTGGGCGTAACATCAAGCACACCTTTAATATCGAAGTGGTTTGCAGCCGCGATAAGTTCGAAAGGTGTCCTTTGGTCAACTTTCAGGGATTCTTGGTCCCAAACAGGAAGATCATCTGTTCGCTTTCTTGTCCTGATCATCTTCAGGAGGAGGGTCATCCTTGTGGTGGGTGCATCACTGAATGATTTTTTTTTTTTTTGAGTGATTTTTGCTATAGGGCATTGCACTCACCAGAGAGCCAGAAAGCGAGAACAACCCCCCCCCGCCCCCGCCCAGGGGAGATGGCCACGCCACAATCCCTTCTCCTCCATTCTCTTCTTGGGATTTTGGGCACACACGCACATACACTCAGTGTGAGTTTTAAGCTTACTGGGTCCGGGAATCGAACCATGGTCAACTACGTGGAGTCTAACAACGTAACCAACCACTATACCATCTGCTGGGTCCTGAGTGACCTTTTTAGTATTGCTGCGTTCACATTCGATAGAAGAACTGAGTCATCATCTCCTTCATTGTCCATTCCCGACTCTTCCAACACGGTCTTTCCTTTCCTTTTCTTTTTCAGGAGAGACTTTTGCTACAGGGCACATACGCTGGAGAGACAGGGAGACAGAAAGGGAGAAGTCACCCCCCGATGGGGAGGGCCGCACTGCAGCACCTGGGTCTCCTCCGTTCTCCCAGGATCTTGGGCATGCACACACATGTGCCCACTGCGTTTCTAGCCACTGGGTCTGGGACTCGAACTTTAGCCATGTGGGAGTCCAGCAATGTGACCATCAATGTGACCATCACACCATCTGCTGTCCCTCAACATAGTCCTGATAGTCACAGACCGGCAATTTCCACACCAGCTTCCAACCTCTCCATCGGCACTCTGCCGCTTAGCAGACAGCATAGAGCTTGGTCTCCAGGGTCGGCTTGCGGAGGCGGATGGGAGCGGAGCGGAGCATCAGCAAGAAGAAGGCGGAGGACAAGACCGCTCCGTAAGGTGCTCTTCAGAAATGCGGAAAGAGGGCCAGTGGTGGTGTGGTGATTAAGACGCCGGCCTCCCACACGACTGACCACAGTTCGAGTCCCAGACCTGGCAGCTCACTTTCTTCCTCCCCCACCCCTTGCTCTCTCTGGTGACTATAGCAGATTTAAAAAATAATAATAAATACAATTCAATAAATCATTCTTCCAAAAACTGTGGAAAGAACACTTACGATCTGTATTAACACGTGTGAGTTTACGACGCATTGCGGCCCCAGCTACAACGTTACACAACGGACCTCTGGAACGCACCCTGAAACTGCACCCCTCTCGGCAGCTTCCGGTTCCACCCCTCTGCACCTCCCAGAGCTTGTCTCAGAAGCCTCCCGTAAGCGGAATCACACCGTATTCATCCGGTCACCTGGCGTGCTCCGCCTAGCACGGTGCCCGCAAGGCTGTCCTTGTTGTAGCATTTGGTGGGATTTCCTTCCTTGCCAAGGCTGCGTACTGTTCCATGGCATGGACAGACCAGAGCGTCTTTATCCACTCAGCCACGCAGGACACGGTTGTGCAAGCATCTGGGCGACTGTGAACAATGCTGCAGTGACCTCGAGAGTATGGACACGCGTCAAGATCCCGACTCGAGCCTTTGGATGGCCTGCTTTGGCGTTGCGCTGTGGACCGGAGCCAGCTTTCTGCTTCAGCACAGACAGGGGCGCAGCTCCCGCTTTCATCAACATTCTCGCTCTGCTTTAAGCCTCTCGCCTTCCAGGCTGTCAGGCCAGGGTGGAAGCCATGCGCGCTCGCCTTCATTGGTGTGCTCACCGGGGTAGGAGGGGCTGTGCCACCCTCCCCTGAGGTGGAAAGAGGGTGTTGGAGGGGTCTGTGGGCAGCAAGTACCGCCTGGGCCTCGCTGGGCCAGCCCCGTGGTGAGGCCTTCACGTGCACTGGCTCGCGCACGCACGAGAGCCTGGCAGCAGACATCCTGCCACCCCCACTGTACAGAGGGAGGTCTGCGGCTCGGAGAGGCCAGTGACTCTGAGGACACAGGCAACAGGTGGCGGTCAGGGCGTGTGACTGCACCGGGGCACCCTGCGACTCACTGAAGACTTTCAGCACGTCAGGGAGCTCTGGCTGGCAGGACTGGGGACGGCGTGCCCTGTTCCCCCACCACCACCACAGACGGAATAGGATCTGGGACAGTCGCCTTGGGGGCACGTGACAGTATCTACACAGCACAGCTGCTTTGCGCCGCCCAGTGCTGTGTCTCAACTGCCGCCCTGACCTGTCCCACGCAGCAAAAAGAGCCACGCTCAAGGTTGTTTGTTGCAACACTCTGCAGCTGAGAACCTAAGTTCCCTCGACGTGAGACAGGCGGGGCGGATGCCGTCAGAACCCAGTCTGCTCAGACTCAGGTGACCAGCTAGTGCCCTCACCGCCCCCACAGCTGGGCTAGCCACAGAACAGTTCTGGCCAAAGTCATTGTTTCTTTGTCCAAAGGACACAGGAGAGGGGTGACTGGGGATGGCTTCCCAAAGCTGGCTGGGAGCA